ATAGCAAATTGTTTTGTTATTGGTTGCTCTAAAATTTACTGAAAAGTAGCCTGTGGAGAATATTCCCAATTTTACTCTCTTTAGCTTCCTTCTCTTCCAGCCTAAAATCCTCAAAAAAAAGCTTATGTTGTATTTTTTTCCAAAAACATTTACTTTCTTACGTGAAGAACACAATTTTGAATATTTGTCTCAAACTGTTGTAAATAGAAGTTTAAAAATAAATCAGCATCTAGTATACCCATAGCCTCTATAGTGTGGCACTTTCCTATAGAAAATGTGCTGAATTTCAGTCAAACCACGTTTTTTTTCCTTTTAGTATGTGACTTAAATTGATCTTTTCTCCTACTAGTTTTGCTGAGAGTGAGATTATAATCAAATGTTACATAACAATAGTCAAATATTACAGCACACCATGCCTTTCATCACTGTAGCCTATCCAAGTGTTTGTCCCAAGGTGAATCTGCCTTTTACTATTGAAAAATTGATGCTGGAGACAGTTATACATCTTGCCTGAGGCCATGCAAAGCCAACGGTAGAAACACAAAGTTAAGCATGGAATCAAGTATCCCTTTTTCCCTTGTGTTTACTCTTAGATATCTCTACTCCAAAAACTTATATTTTTTAAGAAAAGAATTTTTATTTAGTGCACATTTTATAGTAAGTCCAGTCTTGAGGGAAGGGGCAATTCTATTGATTCTTGGTGTTTAGCAATGTACACCCAAGGGAAATTTGTTATAATTACATAATTAATTATATGTCTTCCTTTCCTTATTTCAGAAAGTATTTAGAGGACCTTTCCAGAGCATATAAACTTAGGTTATAAGCATATAAACTTAGGATATGCTCTTTCCAGAGCATATAAACATACACAATTTAACAAATTAAAAGCGCAAGTGAAATATAATGTAAAATATTATGTGAGATGTAGAAGCAAGATGAAAGATAAAGCCCACGGATGTGGCTAAAATGTGTTTACAATCTTGCAAAATGTTATACTGACTACAAATGGTTCCCATATTTACTTCTAAACTTACTAATAGCAAGTAAGAAAAGGGGAATTACATCAGTTATCCCATTCACAGAAACTGACTCCTCAAAAAACCACCTACTGCCAAAGAGAAGCAATCTTCTTGATACAACAAGCAGATACATACCCTCCAATTGACTATTACATATGTGTTAAGTAACTTGTAGTGATTGATTTTGTTTTGGTTTAGTTTGGTTGGTTGGTTTTCTACACATTTCTCTGCCTTAAGGAACTTGGCAACTTACTAATAAATTTACAAGCTAGTAATACCTTAAGCTAAACAATGTCTCTTGTTCATAAATTTGAGTTTAACAATATCAAGTCACGTCCCTTGATGGCTTGTGAAATGCTAAAAATTGTCAGAGTGCCGTGAGTACCATCATTCCTAGGATTTGATCAATAAGAAACATTCTGATCTCTGTATTGTCTGCCCATTTCTCTCTTGACCCATATAGGTTCTTAATCTTCTAGCCTTTTCTACAAAATCTAGGTTTCTGGAATTCCCCTGACACAGGTAGGCAGCAGCCAAGAGAGAAAGCAGTAGTGCCACCTGGTGCTCAAAGAGATCAGAGCTTGTACATACCTACTCTCCCACTTCCTGCTCCTCCCACCACTTCTAATAAGATTGCCTATAAACAGTACCCATCCCCTTCTTGGGCCTTCCACACTTAGCCCTCAGTATGCATTCTGCAATGCCTTCTCCCATTCATTCTCCCTCCCAGGCTGCCTTCGATGCTCATTTTATCAGTTTTCACTTGTAAACACATTGAATGGTGGGAGGAGAGTCACATGATGTGAGTAACCCCACAATCCTGGCTGGTACCAACTCCAGTGTTAAAATATAGATGTACCAAAGTAAAAATATTTATTGCATTTTTGGGCATTGAACATTGAAAGGATTCCAAATATCGAGGACCAGGGAGGAAATAAGCACAGATGCCGCCATTTGGTGGGTTGTTGTTGTTGTACATTTCAGAGACAAAATACAGTAAATGTTTTACAGACATAGTTGCATTACTATGCGTCCCCTGACATATTGTGCTTGTCACTTTATTATTTAGCATTTATGCGGTATTTTATCTACCCTGTATTATCTTTCACAAGCCTATCAAATAGACTATTTTTCTTCCTATGCAGAACCTTGTCACAAATGACCAGACATGTTAAACTTCCCTCTCATCATACTGAAAGTTCCTAGTGAAAGCGGAAGGAAATTTCAATGCCTTGTCCTTTGCCTTCTATTAACTGATTCATGAAATGACCACTAAAGTCCTAATAATGTATGAGGAAAGGAAATAGATATAAAAAATATAGGTCTGTATCATGGAGCTTTCTACTCTGATGGCCTGGGGATTCCTGAGCATCAAATGAAAATTTGTATCACAATGTGAGTGCCCTACCTAAGTTAATAGACTAGAATTAAGTTATGCACCATAGAGTATAATCATTTAATCTGTTTGTACTAAACTCCTGCATATGGCACAAGAGAGAGGGAGAGAGAAAAAAGCAGAAAGAAACAGTTTAAATGTGCAGCTAATTCCCCACACTGTTCCTTTCAGTGAGCATATACCCTACCGCATGCATGTGGCAGAAGATGGCAGCCAATGGCTCTCAGCCTTAGCTCCGCATGCGTGTACCTCTCAGTGTGGAGCACTGAATATGTGTCTAGTTTTAAAGACACTATGTGTCTTTATTATACATAATAAATATCTAAAGGAAGCATACTCTATGTAGGATTCACAGAGCAATAGTATGTCAGTCTCAATGTGACATGAATGTAGACTTAATGTATTCTATTTGCTGGGCTATTTAAGGTATTTTCAAGGGTGATAGAACTATTTGTGATTTCTACTTTACGTCTTAATTTCAGACCCTGACACCCAAGGAGATGTAACTCAAATGTTAAAATTGATCTGGGAGAAGGAGGAAGGAGTGACTTCTTGCTTATATGTCTCAGGGAAGGTCTGACAAAGGGGATGGCCTTTAAGTTGAGTCTTAAAGAATGACTGGGATTTGTCTAGGCTAGTTGGGAGGATAGAGTACTCCAAGCAGAGGAAACAGCAGTCTGCAGAGGCAGAACTCTCTAAGTGACGGCATTTTCTAAATATTCTAAATAATTTGATATGGTCAAAGGTTAAGGTACATGTGATGCTGAAACTCTGTTTTTTATTTATTGGGACAACAAAGATGATTGTTAAACAGAAAAGTAGCATGATAACTGTGTCCCAAAAAGGGGCTGTCTGGTGCCTGTGTAAAGACAGCATTTGAAGTGACCAAAGGAGCAGAGATAAGTTTGGAAACTATTGCCTAGGTTCATGTGAGAAACAATAACAGATTAAACTAAGACATTGGCAACAGGAGGGAGTGGAATGTACAGTTTTTAAAGAATATTGGAGTCAGAAATGACAGAATTTGGTGACAGATTGGATGCAGGAGATGGCATTTTTCCAAATTCAAAGATATCTAAAAAGTTGATTTAGTCAAGCCCTGAAGAAGTAAAGCAGCTACATATTTATAAATTTGCTCCAACTCATGAGAGGGGTGTGGGAGTTAGAAATGTACCCAAAAGCAAATCACCGATTAAGGATCCTAGGAAGAATAACCTTCATTGATTTTACAGAGAACCTTTCCCAGAAACAAAATACCAAAATTGCTTCTCCATTAATTATAAAACAATAATTCTTAAAAGCCTTGCCTATGATATCGGTCAAGGTCCAAAATGCAAAATTGTATATGAGAAACCATATCATATTTTGGAATTTAATGTATGGAAAAATGGTCTCTACTAAGTAAATTGTCTTACTTAATAAAAGATTGCATAAAAGATATATCTTTCTTTTTTTTCTAAGCTTACTAGGAAGCTCAAAATTAAATTTAAAATCAGTCTTAGGGTCATGTGTTGTGGCTCGCACCCATAATCCCAGCAATTTGGCAGGCCAAGGCAGGAGGATCGTTTGAGCCCAGGAGTTTGAGACCAGCCCTAACAATGTAGTGAGACCCTGTCTCTATGAAAAATTTTAAAAATTAGCTGGGCCTGGTGGTATGCACCTGTAGTCCGGGCTATTCAGAAGACTCAGGTGGGAGTATCATGAGCCCAGGAGGTCAAGATTGCAATGAGCTATGATTGTGCCACTGCACATTCTGCCCAGGCAACAGAGCAAGACCCTGTCTCTAAATAAATAAATAGATAATAAAATCAGTCTTAATGAGATGGCTAATTATATGTGTCAACTCGATTAGGCCATGGTAGCCAGATATTGGATCAAACATTATTCTAGATGTTTCTGTGAAGATTTTGTTTAGTGGTAATGAACATTTAAAGCAGTAAACTTTGAATAAATAAAACAAATGACACAAATTATTCTCCACAATGTGGGTGGGCTTCATCCAATCAGCTAAAGCTCTTAATAGAACAAGACTGATCTTTTTCAAGGAAAAGAGAATTCTGCCAGCAGGCTGCATTTGAATCTGAACTGTGAGTCTAGGTCCCCAGCCTCCCACCTACCTTGCAGATATGTATATTAAGAAATATACATATACATGTTTAGATATATGTATAAAGAGAGAGAGCACATATATGTACAAATATATCTATATAGCAGATATATATAAATACAAATATCTACTATTGGTTCTGTTTCTCTGGAGAACCCTGACTAATACACTCAGCAATTATACTGGTCCTGACAATTTCTCTTCCTTCTTTTGCAAAATCTTAATTTTTTGTTTGTTTTTATGCTTGTTATATATATCTTATTGTAAATACATCATGTTTGGGGGATGTCTTTCAAAATTAGAAAATGTGTTTTGAAATTTAAACACATTAAAATCAGACAGACTGTGCTACGTACTTTTATTTTTCATGTCAATTCTTAAACAACACTGTATGATAAATGATATAGTCCTTCAATAAAGATGAGAAAATTGAGCCGGAGAAAATTTACATGACATTTTTAACTTCCAAGCCCTGCAGATAACAGAACTGTGATGGAACTCAAGATCCAAGTGATTCTAAGTGACCAGCTCCCCAACCCCCTCAACACACAATGAAGCCTCTGCAAAGAAAAGCTTAAATTAAAATAGAACACAAACTCTGAAGGCCTTTACTAGACTTATTTTAAGTGAAATCTCTTGTGACTCAATTTACCTTTTTGCTTGGAAATGACAACTTCTAAATGAAGCAGAATGTCTTTGTCAGTATTCGTTCTTACAAAGGGCAGGAATCCATCACACAATAAGTTAGGCCAAAAGAGGACAGTGGCTTTTTCTTGAATCCTCAGGATTGAAATCAAAGTTTCTGGGCCTCAGAAACTACAGGAAGCAGAAACTCAAATACTTCCCAGTCTTTTTCCCACCCTACATCTTCTTTCCACTGCTCTAAAAGTGGGCTTACTTCTTCTCTCCCTCTTCAGATGAGGTTGCTGGGTTTCCTGGGCCCCATGGCTGAAAATAGCCAATGACAAGAGCACCTGGGTTTATATTCCGTGAGTTTCAAGAGACAGGTAAAATAGTTTTTTGTTTTTTGTTTTTTTTTCCTGAAATCAACTTTCACGGAAAGACATTGGTTAGCCCAATTTGGATCAGGTATCTACACCTAGTAAAATTAGTAGAATCAGAGGCTTGGGTATGGAGTAGATAGCATGTGTCATGTGGTGAGCAGAATTACCAAAAGTGATCCTGAGAGCTCCTTTATAATTGCCTGAACAATGAACCAGCTAGGACCAGAGTTGGAGGAGGGCAGGACAGTGTGGGGAAAGGTGAAAGGACGATCCCCCCTTTTTTTTCTCAGTAGGGGCTGCTGCACTCCCTTCTCTCTGTAGGTGATAACTCCCAATATCTCTCAAGTTCCCAAGTGTTAGACAGTTGGGATTACTAAATTCCTGATGTAAAGGGCTGGTGCTCAAATCCACATTGTCTAGCACCAAAGTACACTGGTTATCCTTCACTGATGGTTGCCCTCATAATTTTTCTATAAGAGGAACACCCCCAGGAGCATGAAGTCCCCCTAATGGAACATGGATAACTCCACATTGCCTGTCCAGTATAGTATCCTGGCCCTGGGAAGTCTTTCTGTGAGAAAAAGAGAGGAAAAAGACTAGACCTTCTCAGCTAATCCTGTCCTTGTAATTTTCTTTTTTTTTATAAAGCCTATTCTTTAAACCAATGATTCTGATTCCTTCCTCAAGTGTGATTCCTAGACCAGAAGCATTAGCACTAGCAGGGAATTTGTCAGAATTGCAGATACATGGGCGTGACTCCACACCAACTCAAATCAGAAACTCTGGGAGTGGAGCTCGGAAATCTACTTTACCAAGCACTCTGTGTAATTCTGATGTTTGTTAAAATTTGAGAACCACTAAATTCATGCCATGTGATATTGTGGAATTAGACCTGACCCTTTTAACAAGAGCACAGTTTTCCCCATATGGGTCAGGTGCTCAACCCAAGATCAATCAATGTTCAAGTAAAAAGGTTGTATTGTATTAACACAGTGGCTCCCACTGAAACCATATAAATGTAATGTCATCCTCAATCTTACTCCTTTTCTCTACTGGAGGGAGGTGAGAGAAATGTGAACTTAAAGTGGTCTTGTGTACCAGCATCTTCTGTGGTTCTCATGATATTCTTAGCCACAGTGTTGGCATCAAAGAGCTTCAAAGTAAATTTCTGTGTCCAACATCCTAACCAGAGATACCCCTCACAAACACACTACAATTACAAGGTATGTAATTGTGTGTAAAAATGGTGTGTATAAGACCACAGACATGAATTAAATGCTCCAACACAAAAGTATCTATACAATTACCTGGCATTACAATTTGTAGTGCTATGTCCTATCCATGATTTCTTGCACCAGCAGCTGCTGAGTAAATCAAGATTGATCTTCTAGGACTGAACATCCTCCACTGTTTAAGTTAAAAATATCAGCTTGTTACCTTTTTTCCTTATTCTTATTACCTTTTAACCTTATTCTTATCCTTATGTCCTTTATTCCCTATTCCCATTTCACAGCCAAATCTCTTCTAAGGAATTAAAACTATTAGCCAACATACCAGGTTGGAGGAGGTTTGGGATGGAAGTTGATATCCAAATCTTAACACTCTTCCGCGTCAAAATTCTGAGACTATACATAAAGAGCTGAGAAAGATGAAGCACAGTATTTATTTTATTGCTCAAAGTGCAGAACTCTCTGATAAACTGGATTGAAAAACCAGGCACAGATCTGAGGCTGAATTCTAGCTTCCCCATCAATGGAGGCTGGCCAAGTTCATAGAGCAAATCTCAAACTGAACAGCTTAATCAAAGGCATAGCAGGACTAACTGAAGGCTAGGCTTGATCTCTTAAACTTGAGCATACATTAAAATCTCCTGAAGGATTTATTAAAACACAGATTTCTGGGCCCTGCCCACACAATGTCTGATTCATCCCTCTGGGATAGGTCCCAAGCATTGGCATTTGTTAAAAGCTCCCAAGTGATGCAGCTGTTGCTTCTAAGAACCCAACTTTGAGAGGTAATGAGCTGTATGGTTTACAGTGTACTTACAGGGAGCAAAGAAAAAAGCTCACTGTATTTGAGTGCAGAAAGTTCCAAAAACAAGTTAGAATCAAGTCAGAAAGGAACTTGCTATGATTTGGGGACACTGAGGGAAACCAGAATATATTACCCCAAAACATGCCTCTATGACACGAAAATTATTTGGGGCTGAAGCAATTAAGAAGCAAAAAATTCAAGCAAACCTCTCTCTGCCTACCCTGTTTTCTGCCTAAAGGAGGGATAGAACTTCTCCTTTAGAGGAGATGACACTGGACTCTTAACCCAGAAACAGCACCAGAGCAGTTCCAGAACAAACTTTCCTCTACACTTTCCTCCCATATATTTCCTTTCCCACAGTTTCCCACTCTTAGAAACCTAAAAACCATTTTCCTTTGTTTTGTCATTTTTCTACAAATGTGTTGCTCTTTACTGTACTTGCTACAAAAGCCAGAGCTCTGAGCTGCCACTTTGAGTCACTTTTCCCTGAGCATTATCGTGTGTGGTATCTTCTATGTGCATTAATAAACTCTTTTACTCTTGTTAATATTTTTGTTAAAGCCCCTGCTAAAACCTCTAAAACAGGTAGAGGTTACATTTGTCTTCCCTCCAAAATCTAAAAGTAATTTGGATTATGCATGAAATACAAGTGAGTCAGAGAGGAAAGGAAGTTGGAAGAGAAAAAGCATGAAAGAGTCTACTTCTTTTGGCTAAAGTTGAAACGTGGGAAGAAAAAGAGGAGGGTTTCTTCAATATTTCAACAATTTTGGTCACTGTTATTTTCTTGGACCTGAAAGTCTATATTCCCTTTCCACATTTCCCTCTCCCCATGACATCTGCTTCTCAGGCTTCCCCTTTGGATCTTCTCCTACACCTCAAACACCTTCCCAGTATGCAGTCTTTTCAAGGCCTACTGTGATCTAACCACTTTCAGCAGACTTTAGGCAGCAGAGGTCCCTATTTGCTTCAAAGTATTTGTAAAATAAATTTACATGTGCTATGTGTACTTGAAGAAAAAAAATACAATTTACAGCAAAAACAGCTGACTTTTTAATATTCCAACTTTCCAGGAGGAACATTTAAATTAATAGCAGGGAGCAAGACAAAGCTATTACGGCCACTTTTCACTTACATAGCTGGTGTGGGAGGAGGTCATACCTAAGAATAGGATCTCATGAAAGAAAAGCGATAGTCATTACAAAGATCGGGCAAGTGTTACATGTGATTAAAACACCTACATCTGAAGTGTAGAACCCTTGTTTAGTCAAGTAATGTTACGAGGTTTTGAATAAGCAAACATAGAACTGGGTGAAATGTAAGGAAGGGGAAGAAGGAGTTGAACTTCATGAGGAAGCATGAAAACTTAAACATGGAGGTTGAGGAAGAAGAGCTATGAACAGGTAAGAAGGAAGAGGAGAAAATGAGAGGAGAAGATCTTAGAAACCTAGACGACAGAGCAGTCCACTAGGGGACTGGGGACCTTTTTGGTAGAGGGAGGTCTAATATTCAATATTAAGCTACTGGTTCTTCTGGGATATAACCTCCCTGTATTTCTTCCAAGGCTCATGAAAAAATTTGATGCAACTGCCTCGCTTATGATGCAATGGAAAAAGAAAAGTTCTGCATTATCATATGGCAACAACTGACTAGCACTTGGTAGCAACTAAACCAACCCTACCCTGCCTTTAAGTGGCACCTGTCCTGATAGTTCCCACTGTTCCATCCCTATGTGGATTGACACAGGGCTAAGAGGATTGACAGCCACTGCATGCAAGACCTGAGTCACAAAGCAAAAGAAGGTACTGAGGAAATAAGCCCTGAGGTTTGGTGGGGATTCGGGAGAAGGCACTGTATTCCCAGTGGAAAGGGAAATAGTGCCATTTTATTTAGACAGTAAAGAATTGTAAGTACTAAAGGACTCCACAAGAATGAAGAAATCAGGAAAATATGGGCAGCTGATCCTTGAGTTGTACTAATCCAAATTGGTTGCCCTTCGATCCTCAGTCTTCATTCCTGAAGCACTATGTGGATCTAGAGAATCTATTTGAACTTTTTCCTTCCCATTCTATCTTTACCTAGTTTACTTGCAAGCTTTGACTGGGGAAACATCCAAAGTCTTGTATTATTTCTCTTTACAGATGTTGTTGGGACAGGCCATTCTTCTTCCTATGTGGTTATGCATATGCAAAGGTTAGTGTACCAGGTGGCTTTGCAGCATAAATTAATTGTAAATCCTGTTCATTCCTTAAGTTTGACCTGATCCTCCAACCTTTTAGTGTTTCCCCCTCCCATACACCCAGTTCTGTGATTGGCCTACAGACCACATGTCTACTAAGTATCAGAAATAGAGTTCAAAGATCAAACTAGATGATTTGTCTATGCTCAAACCAGATGGATCTTGTTTAGTCAACCCACAGAGTTTGTGAAAAATAAATAAGCCAACATGCATATATCAAAAGACTAACATAAAAATTCTGATTTCTTGTTTCTTTAGAAAAGTCAGATCTGGCAAACTTTCAATGGAGCATACACTGCTCGTTTGCCTCAACTAACCCATCTTG